CACTGTAAAAGTTGGGAGCAGAGGTCTTGCATCATGATGTGAGCAACTTACCCTGGTTTGTAAGTGAAGGAACCTACAATAAGTTTAATTCTGGTTTTTGTGTCTCTGCCCGGGGCAGCACTGGTTATCCTTTACCTTGTGTGTTTGACTTGGCAGGGTTGGACAGACAGCTTTGGCTGGAGGCTGTGTCCATACTCAGCTTTTTGTCTGATACTGTCAATGTTCAACACATCAGTGCCCACCTGTGGGTCTCCATTTATAGGCTACAGGGTGGGGATATTTTGGCTTGTTTTGATTTTTTTGTTTTTATTCGTTTCTGATGTATCCTGTTCTGCTCATACAGGCCAGGGCACGTTTTCTCTCTAGCAATGGTAAGAATAGAAATTGAAATTGCTGCTATATGACAAGCACAAAGTCTTGTGTGATTATCTGGTCTCGGACATTTCCCTTCTGTTTCCACCATGTCAGGTTGTTCATGTTAAGAGGAAGTTTTCAGGTGGGTTTTCCTTCTCTGAATATGAGAATGGGAGTGATGACACTTGATATGTTATGTCTGAGCAGAAATGTAATTTTAATTTAATTTAATTTTGAGCATTGTTACAGTTTTTTTCTCATAATCTCCTAATTCAAAGAAAGGAGGAGGAGGAACCCCAGGGGCTGCCAGCCCCTCTGGTGTGGGCTCAACTGTGCTTGGTTGGCATTTAGGGACATTTCAGAATAAATACCCATCATAAAATGATGTGGGACTGATAGCACATGTTGATAGTAGATTACTGAGGTGTTTTAAATGTGGTGATTTAAAATTGCAAATTCATTTGATTATTTTGGCTGGGAGGTTTAATAAGGCTAAGTTTTGGATAACCCAGTAATGTTTCTGAGTGAGATAATCACTGTGGGTGTCTGTGCTTGGTTTTCCTTCTTTTGCACAGCTTTTCCCTGTTTTGGGTAGGCAGGGAATGAGAGTATCCAGCTGCCATCTTTCCTGCTTTGCTTTTGCTGTGTTAAATGTTGCTGACAAAGCAAATGAGAAATCAGAATTGTCAGCCAAAAAACAACTGTAGCTCACGGTGAAACAGAAAATATCCACTCCCCTTTGGCAAATCCAGTCCTTTCACATCTGCTTACAGGGTTTAAGCAATATGTGGACTTGGCAGAAAAGGGGCCTATAGAGTCTGGGTGATGATTTGCTGCTGAATGCTGTAATTACAAGGAGTCAACTGTGTTTTCTGTTGGAAGTCACCAGGATGCAGTCATGGGGTTGTGCTTAGAATCATAGAGTGGTTTGGGTTGGAATGGACTTTAAAAACCATCTTGTTCCAATTCCCTCTCATGGGGAGGGACACCTTTCACTATCCCAGGTTGCTCCAAGCCCTGTCCAGTCTTGAACAATTCCAGGGATGGAACAGCCACAGTTCTGTGCCAGGACCTCACCACCCTCACAGGGAAGAATTTTTTTCCTGTCATCCAGCTGAGACCTATCCAGAAACTTCACTTCTACCCTACACACATCTAAATGCTCTAATTATCATAGCTTGCTACCTCCAGCCCTGTTTGTACTGGGGGCATCATAAAACAATGTTCTCGTATTATTAGTAGTTAATACAGGAGGGCCCAGGGTAGGAATTCTTCCTTGGAGCTTTTATGAGTGAAATTCATGACATGTTGCATTGCTGGGAAGTCATCTCTTCAAGGAGCAGGATGATTTCTGGTGCATTAGACTGATTCAGCCAAGTCAGGCTTCTTGACTCAGGCCAGCCATTGATGTGTGGGAGGACCTTGAATTCTTACCAGCAGTCAATTTTAATAATTTCAGCTACAGTCCTGCATTCAGTGTTCCACTTCCTTCTTGGATTTTCTCTAATTTCCTTCTGTTTTCCTTTTTGAGCTCTAGTTTTCCTTCAAAATCAACCAATTTCTCTCATTCCTGCCATGCTGCCATGTAATGTTGTTAATATCACAGACAATGTGTAAATTTTAGACGGTCATTGACACCTTTATATCTTTCAGCTTTATTCCTTTAGTGAATTTCTCATATATGCAGTGCTGTACATCCCCACGGGATCTTATCCTAGTTATTTTCTGAATGTAAAGGGGTGTACTTTTGCACATCCCTGTTACTCCTGTTTTGTTTTGTCCTGCCTGGTGACATTAGGGTGTTTTCCATATCAGTAGAGCACCAAGAGCCCCTGTTTCTCACAGCTTTTAGCCCCTGTTTCTCACAGCTTTTAGCCAGGCATTACCACTGGTGTGGCAAGGCAGCCCATCTGACCTTTTGTATGGCAGTGAGGTTCCAGGTTGCTCAACCTTTGGTTCAGGTACAGACCTGTGATGGAGAGTCATCCATCAGTCTGAGGATGGGAGTGAATTACCTAAATTCAGTGGCTGCCATGCTCAGAAAAGCTGAGGGGTTATCCCATGGGAGAAATGGAATTGTTTTAAAGGGGGCTCCCTGAATCTGAAGAGGATGAGATTAGGACATCAGCAAAGATTGCTGCATAGCATCAAGAACGAGGACATGGATGAGGAACTCACTACCCAGATATAAATCTTAATCTTGTGCTCACTCTGTCCTAAAAGAGAGTTTATGCAAAGATGAGTGGCCTAGGAAGAGAAGCAAGCAGAGCAGGAATGAGAGAGCTATTGCAGATGTGGAGTGCAGGTGAGATGTTGCTTATCTTTAGTCACTAACCTGCTTATTTGGAGAGGAAGCATCTACCCACAGCTGTGGAAGTCTGCGAGTGTTCTTGGAATAATGCAGCTTGTTAAGTGCAGGTAGTGGGAATGGACCGATCCTTTTATGTAGTGTTTATTTTTGAAAAGGTGAACTTTGCTTTTCCAACCCCAGTCACCTCAATAAAAGAGCTGTGTTGGAAACTTGAAAGGGTTGTTGAGTACTGAAGAAGGAAATGGGTCACTTGACTGTTGGATCATTTTGAACTGTGGATAGATGAACCTTTGAACTGCACCCTGCTCCAAGCCTTAAGGTCTGAGCAGTACAGGAAATGTATTCTTTGGTACCTCTCTGGGTTTTGGAGTACACTCAAAGTGCACTATATACTTTGTGTACTTTACATTATATCTCAAAGTATAATGAGGCTGATAAACGTGTTTCTAATTGCTGAAATCACAGTTCAGCAATGCCAATAACTTAACCTCCACCCCAATCAAAGAAAATGTTTTTATTGTTATAGTTATTGACAATAAATTAATGTAACCTGAGAGAAATCCATGTGAGAGGTTTCCTGTCAGCTTCCCTGGTACTTTTTTATTACTTTGAGAGGGACAGGGAGCTCAAATTCTAAAATGCTGCCTTAGCCCTCAGTTGTGTATTTTTATGAGGGCAGACAGGAGCTGCCAGGGCAGCTGGATTTTTCATGTTTCCTTTTGATGTCTCCATGCTTCACAGACTAAAGGTAGTTATATGAGCCCAAGTGTGGGGCTTGGTGTCTGTCTCCTTCTTTTTCCACTTGGTGGATGCAGTGTTTGGTTGCAATGTTTCAGGAATTAATAAATTAATGTTTGAGAGATGTTCAAACACAAAGACTCTGTTTTATCACTTGCTGATCACCATGGTTAAATAAAAGAATTGCTCAACAGTATCATCTAAGAGTTTTTTGTGTAACCAAACAAAAAACGTGGTATTTCCTAAAATGTTCTTTGCAGCCCCTCGAGGTGTCCAAGCTTAGGCTTTGCATGGAAGTGCTTTAGTGTGGGGAGGGGGCTGGCATCTCCCTGCATCTTCTGGTTATGACAGCAGAGCTTCTGTGGGAGCTTGATGGGAAATTAGGTGTGAGGCTGCTGCAAGATTTTTACAGTAATGTTGAGATAAAATGGAAAACATTCCTGACTTGTCCAGCCTGTCTGGAGTTCACTTTCTTAGCTCGGGTTTGAGTCCAGTCTGCGTATAGCGGCAGAGTTCTGTATAGCAGCTGACAGCCAGGGTTGTTGTGCACAAGTCCCTGCCTGGTGGAAGTGGATTTATCCCAGGAAGGTTGTTCCCACTGTCCCACCTCTGTGAGGGCAGGACATGCCCCTGAGCGAGTGTCCCGAGTGGCCTGGTGTCTGTGACTCGCGGGGAATGCCGCCTGGGACCGCGTTCCCCATTCTGCTGGGGTTTCCAGTTACAGCTTTTGTATTCAAACCCAAAATCCAGTGTGGCTGGAAACTTCTGCCAGCTGTCAGCTTCCGAGCAAGTGGCAATCTGCCTTCCCAAACAAATGGCTTCCATGTTTATTTTTGGTTTCATGTTTGTTACACTTGTTGTAGGTTACGAATCCTGGCACAGAGCATCCTTGAGCCTCTAGTAAGAAACGCAGCGATCACCTGTTGTGATGGGTGTTGCAAGCACATTTCTCTCCCTCTCAGGATATTTCATAGATGGGCACAGAGAGAAATGAAAGAGAAAACAATTTCTATTTCTGCTCCTTGTTTTCCCATGTGGAATGTGTTTGGAGAATTGTTTACCTGGGGTGAGTGCTTGGTTGGATTCTGGTGAGGATTGTTTGAGCCTGATGGCCAGTCCAACCCACCTGGGGCTGGGCTCTCAGAGAGGGTCACGAGTTGTGTTAGTCAGAGAAAGTAGTATGTAGTTTTAGTATCCTCCTTTTATATAGTATATTAGTGTATTTTAGCATAGTTATAATAAAGAAATCATTCAGCCTTCTGAATTGAGTCAGACATCAGCATTTCTTCACATTGGGTTCTCCTACATTTACAATAGACGGGGGCTTGAGCTAACCTGCCTCATGCAAATGCAAACAAGAGAAAGCCCTGACCCGTGGAACAGTCAGTTTATAATCAATGGAATAATCCATTTAGGACCTCAGTAACTGAGAGGCTTTCATGCTGTGGTTTCCACATCATGAGCAAAGAGATTTTTTAATGGGATGCAAAGACTGAGTGCATTTACAAGTGGCCGTAGATGGAAGTAAATAATTATTACAATGTGTTTTCTTTTTGTGTCTCCTTTTTTTCTGTTTGTTTTGTTTGTTCTTGAACAGATTGAAAACATAGACGCATGCCTGAGTTTCTTGGCTGCTAAGGGGATTAACATCCAGGGGCTGTCAGCAGAAGGTGAGTCCATTGGTTGTTAAATGAGGAACCTGAATTACTACCTGTGATTGCAACTAGAACACGGAGTCTAATGGAAGATTAATAAGGTCAAGTTAAACTTCTAGCAATCTTTATTTCTTTTTTACCCCATCTCACTGTGGAAGGTAGATAAAATAATGTATCTAATTTCTACACAGCTGACTTGTAAAAGTAATCAATGAGTCCAAATTAGAATTCAGTCAGTTCTTTACTACTTTCAGTTTAAACCAGAAATTTCTTATCTCAATTCTATAATTTGCACATTGATAAGTGTATATTTTACAGATATAAGTGAACAGCTGTCAGTTGTTTGCCTTTTCTGAGAAAAATTTATTTCCTTCTTCTTCAATTATTCTCTTACCTGAACAACCATCCTGCTTGCTTCTCATTTTAAAAGATTTTTTTCCTGTTTCCAAGTGCACAAAACAATCAAATCCAAATGTTTTGAACCAAAACAAAACATTTTGACCTCTAGTTAATCACTCTGCTTTGAAGAGCATCAGAATTTTCTGAAACCAAACTTCTTTTATGCCAGGATGTGTGGTACCTGTTGGCTCAGAAGCTGTTTAGCTATTATCTTATTAAGAGATCAAACAGATTTCTGTCATCCTCAGCACCAGCTTTCACTTGTATTTTCATTTAAATATGCTGGAAAAGCAGTTGGGTTCAGTAGCTGAATACATGATATGACATCTCCATCACTGTTTTGCAGAACAAATAATTGAATGTGTGGCATCAGATGAGACTTCAAAGTTACATTTGATGACTGAGTCTCTTCACAAACTTAGTTTGGAGGAGGAGGCTGCAGCAAAATAGCAGATATTTAGTGTTCTAACCTGAGCACACCACAGCTAGCAGAAGAGGAGGCTGAATCTTAGGTGTATTCTTACATTGGATTAGAACAGCAATAACAAATATTTTCCTCCAAAGAGAAGCTTTATCTGAGTGCTGCCAGCATTATATGCCTCAGTTGCTCAGTTGTAATCAGGATTCTCATGTCAAGAAATCACGAGCTAAAACTTCGAATGGCAGAAATTTCTTTGCAAGGAAATGATTAAAAAGAAAATGCAGCTGAGCTGGTTGTAAAGGCCAACATTTTGACCTTAGCACGGAAATATTGTAAAAATGCATTTCACATGACTTACCTGTCTTGCTAGGAGGTAAAATGTGAGTGAACTAGCAGATCAGTGAGGAGAAAGCTGCCTGGGTGCACAGAGCTGGCAGCGTGGTGTTGCTCTCAGCATGATTAATGCCCAGAGCTCTCTGGCCATATCCCAGCTCAGGCCCAGCAGGACTCACATTATCCCCTGGCTTTGCTGCTTTGGGATTTCTGCCTTTCTTTTACACTACCTCGGAATTAAGTGCATTAAATCACGTGGAAGCTAAGAAGGGACCAGCAATGTGCATTGCTGCCAGCATGTAGCTGAGTGCATTTACTGGCTCCACCACTAACACTGAAGGAGGAAAGTGACAACTAGACATGGGGAGGGAATAAATAGACTTTTATAAAATAAGTTAAAAGACTTGAATGCAACAGTAAAGTGAATTTCTCTTTCTAGTTGCTCCAGCACTGTGTTGAGGAACAAAGAACCATTTAAAGTGAGGAATGTTGTTACCAAACAAGCCAGTGTTTCTGTGCAAATTGCCAAGACCTGCTAGGTCAACTGCAAATAACTTTATTTACTTCACTGGCAGATCCTCATATAGGAGGAAGGAAAAGGTTGTGATTGCTTCCAAATGGGAATAATCACTGAAGTCCCCTGGGTTTGTTAAGAGCACGTATTTTTCAACAGTGCAGCTTCAGAGTGGAAAGAAGTTAATGATTCAAAACTGGAATTTTGATGACTCCTAAATGTTGAAATAATTTGGGACTGCACATGTATATCCTTCCAGAGTTGAAAAATCCTACTTTGATATGTGCTTGCCACTGACACAGAGTCTATTTTGATGGATTTATGCAGTAGAGATGCTGAGCATCTGCAATCACTGATGATGACCAGGCTGTGCTAGAGGCTTCTCTTCCCCAGGAACGTTCAGGCAAACAGGCATCCCCTTATCTAAGATTCTTAAAAATCTAAAATCTCCATTTCTAGTTACTGAAGAAAACTATGGAGAGCTGGAGATCTCTTTTCACTTATTGCTGCAAATTTTTATTGTTCATTCTTTGAACTATCTTTCTATACCCTTGCCCTTAGACTTGTTTTAGACTCCTGGAGTTGCAGCTGCCCAGAGAAGCTTGCTCTCCTTCACACAATATCTCCTTGCTCTCAAGATATTGAAGATATTGGAGGACATAAATGTGCAGTAGAAACTCAAACTGATATCACAGATAAGCAGCTGCACATCTTTTAGATTAGAGATGAGCTGGATAATGATCAGCTGAACACATCCTGGAGCACTGATGTAGGGGAAACAAGCACCAGCAGGAATATCCCAGGATGGAAATCTCCAAAGAGTGGATTTGTGGGGTTTCCTATGAAAACCAATTTCCAGTTTCAAGTTTGTTTCCAGTATGCAGGACAGGAATTTTTGGCTCCACATTAGAGTGGCTGGGTGACATCCTTGTCCTTATCTAAGTCAATATGATTCTGGAGCTGACCATGGGCTGGAGAGGACTTGAAGCAGGAAGCATTTGAGACTCTGCTGATGTGCAGAGTGCAGTGAGGCTGAAGTAGTCTTTGAAATACTCCTTTTGTATGAATTGAAAGGTAGAACTGCCAGAATTACCTTAGTTTTTAAGATAAAAGAAACAGAGGTGCCACTGAAAGTCTGATTTAATTTTTTTTTTCCAAATCCAGAGGGGAAGAGACTGCTTAAACTCATTAAAAATGTTGTTCTTTTGATTATTTGGTCAAAAAGCCTCTTGCCCTTCTGATAAATGCAGCAGAAAACAGGCAGCAACACGTTGTAGGTGGGTTATTGTTATAATTGCCTCTCACTTCACACAGAAATCAGTTTCCAGCTGCATATAGCTTTGCTAAATTTAAACAAGCAGGCCCATGGTAATTTCTTTTATCTCTGACCTGTATTTGTGCAGTTAAGCTTCCCAGTGCCTCTGGATCTGTTTAGTTATGCTTTGACCTGTGATTAGATGTTACTTGCCTTACAGATCCCATGAGTAAGTTGAGTTCTTTGCTGGAGATAAGGAAATCCTTTTCACTTTGTTCTGTATTTTGTGTCTGTTCTACTTCCATCCCAGTCCTCCCAAGATAAACACAGATTATTGAAGAGAACCTGCAGATTAGGGAAGGAACCTGCCTGGTGCAGTGAGAGAAGGCTGGGTTTGTGCATGGCACTGCATGGGAGCAGGAGTGGGCTGGGAAACTGGCAGGATTAATTGGGACCCCACTGTTCAGGAAGAGACTAAAATTGGCCCAGAAAACAAAGGAAGACTGAAAATGGCTGCTGAAGGGTCCTGGGAATGACAATCCTTTAAACAAGGATTGAGGTGTTTGAGTGGTGGGAGAGGGCACTGATGGAGGGGCCAGGCTGCAGGGAAGAAAAAAATGGCTGGGGAAACTGAGTCACAAAGTATGAGAGGAAAGGAATATCCTGGGTCTGGATATCTGGAAAGGAATATCCTGGGTTATCACCCCACTAGGTCTGGGTGATGACAGGGCCACTTAGAGAAGGGCTCATATTCTCTGAAGATGTGGGCATGGGTTGAAACAAATTTCAGAAAGAAAGTAAATTATATTACTGGCTGGGAAGGGAAAGTAAACTGAGGTGCAGGTAGACAAGGAGACCAAAGCTGGAAGCTGGTACAGAACGGGAAAGAGCAGTTTTAAACCTTGAGCCTCAGATCTGCTGGGTAAAGTGCTTAGGATTAGGAGCAGGAGCTTGTTTCTAGAGCAGAGATGAGCAAAGTTAGCAGAAATGTGGCTGGGAGAGGGAGTGAAGGATGGAGTGGGGCCCATCACAGATGCAGAGCAACCTTCCAGCCAGAACTGGGAATAAATGAAAATTCTGGTTCTTGCCTTTGTGCTTGGCCACTGTCTTACCACATGTCCTTTTCTTCTTGCTTTCTCACAGGGCAACAGTCAGCTTTTAGTTCAAGTGATCTGTACAACACAGGCAGAAGTTCAGCTGTTTGATGTAGCTTTTTAAATTCACTTTTTTAATTTAGGAAATTAAACATGCCAAATAATTAAGTCACAGCACATTAAGGTTGTCTGCAAGGAAGAATTTGCCCTCTGGCATTTTAACTATGATACAGTGGTTAAGTGCATGGTCTGATACACCTTTTCATCTTTGTATTTCTGTTTGCTTTTACATTTTTGCATTTGATATTGCATAGAAGAGGATGACATTCAGGAATTGAAAAGTTCATACATTTACTGTCAAGCTATCTTTAGGTACATTGGGTGCCCACTCCTATCAGTGATAGTATCAAAGATGGTAATTATATTTGAATACAGCTATGTCACTCAATAACCATAGTTTTTCTAGAGCAAAACTGGCATAAAATTTTCTTAGTGGAAGCAATTATTCTGATATTCTAAATATACGTGTCCGAATGGAGGAATTTCCTCCTTGTGCATGATTTAGGACTGAGAAATCATTTACAGCATGCTGTCCTTAATACAATTGTTGTTTTGGGGGTTCTGTTTTGGGGTTTTTTGCTATGTTAGTTTAAAGGAAGTATTTAAAGGGACTTGCTTTTTAAGCACACTGGCATTAACACAGACTGCAAAGGAAATGTGAGATATTGCTCAGTCGCTGCAGGGGAGAGATTAGTTATTTATTTCTTGTTGGTGCTCACTGGCAGTCAAGTGTAATGCCAATTAGATGTGCAGAAAGCAATTTCTCCTGAAGGATATCCCAAAGGAGCTGAGTTCAGACAGTGTTCTGGGCGTGCAGTGGCTGCCCCGCTGCGCTTTCGGAGAGAAGGCACCCACTGCTGGCTGACGAGTGACTTCTCCTCTTTGCCTTGCAGAGATCAGGAATGGGAATCTAAAGGCCATCCTGGGCCTGTTCTTCAGCCTGTCTAGGTACAAGCAGCAGCAGCAGCAGCCCCAGCACCATCCAGCCCAGCAAGCAGGGCCTCCATCCCAGTGCCAGCTGGGCATCCCCCAGCAGCAGGTGCCAGCTCCGCTCCACACTCCGTGCCAACAGCC